AAAAGGCCTAGAAGCAATGACACCCAGTAGCAGAGAGAACATCTATTGCCAGCATCTTAGTTCTAGTTTCTATTCCCAAATTGAAGGAACCAGAGTAACCTTGGAGCAATGACTGAGTCCAAGTCTGTGATAGGGAAGGTACGTAAGTGATCCTGGGACATCTTGTGCCAGTAGGCCAGGAAGTTGTCCAAGACTATTGTTACCATGTCAAAAAGACATAGTATCCATTCACCCAGGGAAGGGACCTGTACGGGCTGAAAAAGAATAATGATTGCAATCGACCGAAACAACTTAAATCTTAAAAAACTCGTGAATCCACATGATACTTAAAAAGCGAATAGGCCAAAAAATATATATATCATTTTCCACTACTTGAAGTAGATATGAAATCAAACCCTTTACTTTGAAAATTGGTCATTATAGGGAAAAAAGTAAGCATTTATCCTGTTTTTTTAAGGTTAATGAGGAAGAGTTCTTTTTCATAGAAGGAATTTCTATTTATGTAGGAATTAGAGAATTATTTAATCACCAGATATTTCATTATTAGTTCAGGAAAGATTTATCAGTAAATGACCAAACCGTGGTGAAAATTTGTTGGGGAACAGGAAATTGGCACGGTACCAAAGCCTTACTCTGCAACTACTTAACTACTAAGGATGAAATATACCTAAAAAAGAGATGTAATAGTCACCACCTTAACCATGTGATCAAACTTAAAATCAAACTAGTAATTTGATGTATCTCCTGGTGTAATACAAAACGAAAAACATATCTATATTATGACATATTCTTGCCAAAATGTGTAACCCGAATCTAATCACTCTTTTAGCATACATTTTAGTTTATAGGAAACATGGGAAAGAGGAACATGTTAAATGATACTACAAGAAAACAATCAGATATATCCAGAATATGGACTATTCCTAGGGACAACTGGCGAACTCTCTTAAAAAATTCATAAAAAATAAAAAGATGGGCAATAAATAACTAGAGATATAACAACTAAATACAATGCTTGAAATTTGATTGGATCCTGATTTGTAAAAACCTCCTATAAAGACATTTTTGGGCTACTTGGGAAAATTTGAATATGGACTGAATAGTAAATTATACAAGGAAATAATTGTTAGTTTTCTTACGTGTGATATGTATTGCAGATATAAAGGAAATTTCTGAGATATTCTCAGAAAACACAAGCTGATTTATTTTGGGATGAAGTGTCACAATGTCTGTGATTTACTTGAAAATTATTTTGCAAAAAAACAAACTATATATGTAAATACATACATATAAAGCTAACATGCCAAAATGTTAGCCATTGGATCAAGATGATGGGTATACAGGTATTCATTGTATTGTTCTTCGAACTTTTATCTCTTTAAAGTTTTTCATTAAAAATATTGGGAAAAGATATTGGCATTTGAGTCAAACTTTGAAGAATAGAATGTGAATACTATTCTTTTTTTTTTTTTTTT